TAACTTTTCTTAATGGGTATATTTGATAAAACAGTATTTCAATTAGATTTAGTGTTTTATTCTGCTAAGTAGTCTTAGAGATGAAAATTAATGCCTACAGTTTTCTGCTGCTTTCTGATAACAAGTGCTGTTGTTGATGTTAATTCAAGATGGGTCAGTATTGTAACGCAGTTTTATTTTGATGCGTGATTTTTGCTTTTTACTGGTTGTACGATTTGCTTACGCTTTACTTTTGCCTTTTGTCATCAGTATCAGTAATCTGTCGTTCTTTTATGTGGTATCATTAATGTGACAGGTAACGGTTTTTGACAGAATTTAATTTCCTTTTGACATATATTTTTTCTTCTGTTAAAAATTTTAAGGAGTTTTCGAGGCTGATTATACTACGTGCAACTGCTTGTTATGGATTTCTTTGGTGTATATAGGATGAATTTTTGTTGGAAAAGTATGCTTGTTGCCTTCACTGTATGTTCTAAATCAGCTAACTGGCTTGTTAACACAATTGTGTAGGTTGTTGTTTAGTTAATGAGCATATACTTCTCCGTAAAATAATTCATATTAATGTGCCTAAATTTTGCTGGTAAGCTAGTAAAAGTATTAGTTCACGCAACTACCTTTAGTTTGCATAATTACGCTTTTGTTGTTTTCCAACTATTCTGAGAGACCTACTGAATGAAATGAATTACGAACTGTTCTGCCGTTTCCGGTTCGTTTGTTGGTTGTAAATGATCCTTTACATCCGTTGTCATTCTTTGTACCGCTTTGTTAGTAATACAGTTGCTTGAGTTCACTCCTATTTGAGATTAGACCATATCTAATTCGTCACACTTTATTTGTATGTTAGTAATACAGTTGCTTGAGTTCACTCCTATTTGAGATTAGACCATATCTAATTCGTCACACTTTATTTGTAGTTTATTTGTAAAGTGGGAGTTGTTATAATAAATGTATGGTAAGGTGCGTACTTTCAACTTGTAGTTTTGTAGTTTACGTTATCATTGTAAAGAAGTTGCTTTACCAGTGCTAAATAATACCTCGAAATTAAATATAAAGTATCGACAAGCTTACATTTAAAACAGAAGGAAAGAGTGAGGCGGAAGAACACGGCAGCGCTTTTACTTTACATGCACACAAAAAAGAGAACTTTGTTAGCAAGTTATCGATCAGAGTTGAAAGGCAATTTTATGACTAGTTTAGAGAGCAGCGATGCCTGTTATCGCTACACGAAGAGTAGTAAGTAGTAAGATTATTACTATTAGTAATCTAAATTAGGTAACATTTCCTAAAGCTTAGTAAAGCGAAGTAGAAGTGAAAAGCAAAAGAGAAAAAAGTGGGTTCTTTGTAAGATGGAATTTTTCAGAGAACTGTCGCTGTATTTTTATTTAAGGCGATGAAGAGGTGCCTATGAACGCCGGAGGTGATACCGATAGTGAAATTGATTGTTCCTCTTTGCTTGTGATACGAACCTGGAAACTATTTATTGTACTGAAACTTTTACGTTTATCTTTTGACTGATCGCTCCGTCGCTAGTTACAGATAGAGTGATTTGACTCTTTAGGGCCTTAGTGCCGTTCGATTTTTTTTGTTCATAATTAGTTGACTTTGATCTATCGGCCAGCGGTTCTGGTGTTACACTGCTGTACATTTTGGAAATGAGTGCTAAATTCTGGACGTAAAGTTTTTAAAAGTACAACTGGTTTTGGTCTGTTGATGGTATCGTGCTGATAATCTTTCTTGCCTACTTGAACGGGTGGTTTGACATTCTCATTTCTATCCGTATTTGCATAGCACCTTGCTGGCGGTTGCAATTAGCGAAATGATTCTGCACTACAGCATTTTTTATAATCATGTTGGGCTGGTGGTGTTTGTAAATTTCCACTACTTGGTTTGTTCGGTAGACTTTAAGAGATATCAATTGATATGATTTTACCTCTAGAAGTATCATTGTTTCTGTGCGAGTTGTTCAAACAAAAGTCTGCATGCCAGCCGCTAAACTTAAAATTTTAAAGTCTTTTTTAATTTGTGAAACAGTTAAGAACGCTTTTCGCATTTTCTAAACTGCTTTTTTTTTTCCTATGTCTTCTTGACCATCTGTTACCATTTGGAGATGTCTGATCTGTAGAATGAAAAATTTAGTGTAATAGATTAGTTGTTTTTACTTTCTTACTTTGCTTTTATATTTTACAGGTGGCTGCTGGTCGGAGGTCAGTGGGGATTTACCAAGCTCAGGAATGAAGCTTTTGCAGTCGTTGGTTAAATGCTCAGTATTTTTGAATACCCGCGGCTTTCATGCAGTTTCAATCCCTCGTGCTGCTTATGGTTACTTGAGTGATCAGGATTTGAATGTATTTGAGAAGGCTCTTGGGAAGAACGGTGTACAAACAGATGATTTGGATCCTTACAACATTGACTTTTTAAAAGCTTATAAAGGTATGAACTTTTTCAGACCTAATTTTAAACACAGTACATTGTGACGCAAACGTTCCAAAGGAACTCCGTACTAAACTTTTTATCAAAAAAAATTTTTTTCTCTGGTTGGCGTATTGACCCATAGCTATAGCAAATTGGTAGAAGTAGTGGTTGAGGTAAGGGCAATTAGTTAGCAGACATCGGTCTTGTTATTGATCTCTATTTTTGTTCCAGGTTCATCGAAGTGCGTTCTGTTCCCAAAAAGTACAGAAGAAGTTTCAGCAATAGTAAGGCACTGCTACGAACGTAAACTGGCTATTGTTCCTCAGAGTGGGAACACAGGATTAGTTGGCGGCTCTGTTCCAGTTTATGACGAAGTGGTAATTTCGCTAAAAAAACTCAACCATAACTTCCACTTTGACCCCCTTTCAGGTAACATTTTTCTTATTATTTTTAAGTCATTTTTTAAAATTTTGAAGCTAATTCATTGTTTCCGCTAAATTTCTGCTTGTATTTTTTTT